GATCTGCGGCGTGCGCCTCGCATCTGCTGGCGGTACCCGACGCTGCTCGAACGGCAAGTTGTCGACCGCCGGCAGTTGACCGGCAAGATGAAGTCCACCGCGCTCGGAAAAAATAACCTCGGAACCGCTTTGCCAAGGCGCACAATAGTCACACTGACAGCATTTTCCAGATGCGTCATCCTGGGCCGCTGGAAAATGCTCTCAACCCCGTACCCTCTGTGACCGTCTGCCGGTCCCCATTTATTTCTGGCTGCCGAGGATGCCACAACTGGAAAACACTGTCAGTCTGACTATTGTGCGCCTTGGCGAGGCGGTCCCGGTGGTATTTTTTTAGAGCTGGTTCGGCATGCACGAGCGCGTGGGTGTGTGTGAGCACCGCGGGTCTTTTTTGCGATCCCGGGTCTTGTGCTTGTGCGTGATGCTGTGTGGCATGTGGTCGTCTGCAGTCAGTATAGACATGATAGGGGTGGACTATAGGTCCAGTAGGTCAATTGATCTCGCTTAGTCGCATCGTGGGGAGCTCATCCCGGGCCGTCGCAGGCCGCCGCGCCCCGGGTTTTTTTTGCGAAGCTGAGGCCTCTATATCGGAGTGATAAGAAAGAAAGAAAGAAGCAAAACAGACAACCCAAGGGAGGGATGGGAGGACGGCACGCCGCCACCACGCGTGTCAGCGAGAATTTTGCCAGTGGAGCCACACTGGTCTTTCCGAAGACGAGCCCCGCGCCACGAGTGCCAGCCGTGCCTGCCTGCCTTTCGCGGGAGTGAGTGTCGCCCTAGGTGTCGCCCTTCGAGCCGCATCCCGTCGGCACCGTCCTAGAGTGCGCCCTGCCAGCCTCCTCACGCGACCTAATGGTATTTCTTTTGCGCTTTACCTCCACGATAAAAAAACAGCCGGGACTGATGCCGCTCGACGAGTCGCTCCAGGCACGGGAAGCCGCAGCCGGCGCAGTGGCGTAGGTGCAAGCTCAATTCTCACTCTATTGACACTCATCAGGCAGGACACAGGAGTCGCCCTTTTTCCGCACGCTGCTCAAAGATAAAATAAAAAATCGTCTCTGGGCTTGTTCGGGAATCGCGGCCATGCTATCACGCCTTGCGACAGCCTGTCGGCGCTGCTGACCGTGCCATGATGCACAATTGATCACATGCATAGCTCGCAGCCTTAGTATCAAGCATTCAGTGACGACCTGATCGTACGGCCAGTAGGAAGGTGTCCTTCTATCGTGTGCACGCTTCTGGCGCAATGCGCGTCGCCTCGGATTGGCTGCTGGCACTCTCGAGCCTATGCCTACACAGCCTCGCGCGCATGGGCAGTCAAGAGGGACCACGCACCTTCTCAGGACAGCGCCGGTGCCTCTCTCTTGGACCGGAAAACTTGGTGGTCTAGTGTCACCAATGTGGGACCAGTGCGGCGGATCGCGCCATCGACAGCTCTGAACTGCGCCTCACCACTGACCGGGAAGGCCGCCAAGTGGGCCAGCACCGGTCGCACATTGTGGCAGCAGTCAGCAGTGCATGTCTGATAGCTAGAGCAGCAGCGTCAGGGTCGCAGGGTCGGATCGTGTCAAGCCTCTCGCCCGGCCGGCCGCGTGCAGACGTCGTCGGCCTCGTCTGCTGTCTGGAGTTATCTGTCGGCGGTCAGTACGACCGATCAGGTTGGAGTTTTTTGATAGTTGGAGGGTCTATCTGTGTGTACTCCTCGAGATCTCTCCAAATCTGCCCACTGATTAACCTAGCTTAATCGGGAAGTCGGTGCTAGTAGAGACTAAGTAGAGCCGGAGCCCCGTTTCCGCACTGCGGCGCGGCGCACGGTGCCTCCGAGGGCCCCCGCGTCCCCCCAGAGACTCCCCCTAAGTGCTCCAAGCGGCAAGGCATCGAACTCGTCTCTCGTGCTTCACGTGTGAAATAGACGTTATTTAGATGGTTTCTCCCCTCGAGTTTCTCCCCTAGAGTATAGCAGCCTATTCTCCACTCTACAACTGTGATCCGGTATCAGCTGTGTGCTGACAGTACTCCATTTCAAAGCACTGATGAGTCACTGATGGTTGTAGATTGAGATAGAGAGATGGAACACATTCACCAGGGAGGGCGCAGCCACACCGATGGGTGCTCCGCGCGCACGCCGATGTACAGTCCAAGGTACTCGCAGTGGTCGACGAGGATGCCCTGAAGGGAGGGAGGGCCACCCCCTCCCTCGGCTGCCAGGCACGCCTCCCCGCTGCCGTCGTCGTACAGCCTCTCCACCTTTTGCTCCGCCCGCACCTACGCGAGAGGCGGACGCGAGTCACAGAGCACGCCCGAAGCGCGCAAGCCTCACACAGCCCCGCCGCGCCACGCGTCCGACGTGCGCGAAGCCCAGGTCGTCCCACAGCTTCGTGTTGGACGTGAGCACCTCGTCCCTCTCGTGCACCAAATGCACCGCCTCGCCGCAACGCTCGCGGTAGTGGGACGCGAAGGCGGCGTCGCCGAGGCGCGGCCCCGCCACAGTGATGAGCTCCGGCGTCAGCCCAGCCGCCTCGCACTTGAGCGCGAGCAGGGTGGCCGTCCCGCCACCGAGCGAGTGGCCCGTCACCAGTAGCCTTCCTCCCGTCGCCGGCAGGTGCGGACGCAGGAGAGGCCACATCCCCTCGCTCGCCCGCTGGAAGCCGCGGTGCACGCGCGCCATTGGGTTGGCGAGCAGCGGCTCGGGGCCGATGTCAGTCGTCGTGCCAAAGTTCTTGAAGGAGGCTGAGCCGCGGCATGCAAGCACCACCTCGCCCGCCGCCGTCTCGAGCACGGTGGCACCGGAGAGGGTCGCCGGGTCCTCAATCTGAGCGACGCAGCGGAGGCCCTTGGCGTAGGGCTCGTACCGAATCGCGGAGGGAGGCACGAAGGCCAGCGAGCACGCGCGTGCGGCGAGCAGAGACCTCGCGAGAAGGTCTGTCCGCTGGCTGGTGCGCTCGCCCGCCTCTCTTGCCGCCGCCCAGCGGTCGTCAGCAGCGAGCATCGACGGCGGCGGACGGCGAGAAGGCGCCGCAACATGCGCCGCAGCAATAGCGGACGTGCTCGTTGGGAGCGCGAGGGCGACTAGGATGGCAAATATGCGACACATGGAGTGCCTGTGTGTCGACGAACAGCCTCACTCGAGGGTGCCTAAACATGAATACCGGGTACCATTCTCTCGCCATTCTCTCGCCAACTCGCCATTCTCTCGCCATTCTCTCGCCATTCTCTCGCCATTCTCTCGCCATTCTCTCGCCATTCTCTCGCCATTCTCTCGCCATTCTCTCGCCATTCTCTCGCCATTCTCTCGCCATTCTCTCGCCATTCTCTCGCTCGCCATTCTTCCTCCGTCCGTTCAGATGAATTCGCCCGCTTTTCAAATACATTTTGTGGCGCTTTCAAGAGATTTTTTATCGCAAATTTAGTGCTCTTCATGGCAGTTTAAGGCAAGCGTGCCTTATCCTGGCTGGGTCCGGCGTGGTCGGGAGCCCTCGACTCCTCGGCGAGCTCTTTCCCCCCTGCCTCAATGACATTCATTGCAACAATGAACGCGTCTTACTTAGCCCCGCACATTACTCTATTTGAAGACCTCTGCATGAAGTTGGAGAGAGAGACTGTTGTTGAAGTTGGTGAGCCGCCTCTGCATGGCCTTGGAGAAGGTGCGCTTCACCTCTTCGTTCACTGCGAGGATCTTGGGGATCTGCTCCTGCTTTTGTCCTTGTGGTTGGTCACCAGGATGTTGTTCTTGCCGATTAGTGGTACTCTCTTCCGGCTCTTGTCCTTCCTGGAGCATCTCGGCCAGCGATTCCTTCAGCTTCTCATTGGCATTGTGGAGGATTGCGGCCCGATCGCTGATCCTCAACTTGAGCACTTGAGCACACTGGATAGGGTCGATTCCGTCCGCATTGGTACGGGAGGACCCCTCTCGATCCTCAACGCCTTGGGCTTGCCCTTAGCCTTCTTGCCGCCCTTTGCACCGTCAGGCGGCGAAACCTTCAGACCGCCGTCTTGTCGGCCCTCTGCGTCGAGAGCCACGCCTCGAAGAGGGTCCTGTCCACGCGGGCGGGCGGGGCGCAACCACACGATCAGCGGAGGGCGAGGCGGCTAGTCGAAATTGGAGCCGCGGTGGTGCATACTAGAAGCGCGACAGGTAGCTCCGTAGGAGCCACATACACTGAGCGAAAAGGGAGAGTACACTGAAAAAATAAGACCGAAGGCTAGACGGCCGTCCCCGCAAAACTGTAGCAGCACAACCGACGGGCGTAGCGCCGTTGATGCGTCTGCTCGCGGCGGCGCAGGTCGGAGGTGCTGCACCGCTCTTGCGCCGATGTCGCAACGGCGCAGCACGCCACAAGTCCAGCGGAAGCGCGCACATCTCCTGCTTTGATCTCTTCTCGATTGGCATCGGCCCGTCCTCCTCCCACACTGTGTGCTTGCCCCGAATGCTAGACTGTGCTTGCCCCCGATCCCAGACTCGAACTTCTCCGTTCTAGGTTGGACCGATGCGCGCGGGCGCCAAGTTCGCGCAGATTCTCGAGCAGCAGGGCATGCTCGGGTCGACCAAATCGGTGGTGGTCAAGGTGTATGGCTCGCTTGCACTGACTGGATTCGGGCACGGTACCTTCACGGCCATCCAACTCGGCCTAGAGGGCTCGCTGCCCGCGAGTGTCGACATCGACACCATGCCGGCTCGGTTGGAGGCCATCCGGAGCGAGCGCACACTGCTGCTGAATGGATCGCACCGAATTGCGTTCGACCCGAGGACCGACATCGAGATCCGCGGGGATGAGCTGCTGCCGTATCACACGAATGGCATGTCCTTCGCCGCGCTCGGCGATCCTGCCGCGCCGCCGCTCTTCGAGGAGACCTACTACTCGATTGGCGGCGGCTTTTTCGTCGACCATGACGGCGTTAAGCAGGACGACTCGCGCGCCAAGGTGGGACAAGTCTCGAGCGGGGAGGCTCCGCGAGCGGCGCCGTTCCCCTTTGCCAACGCGGCCGAGCTGTTTGCGCTGTGCGAGCGCGAGGGGACCACTGTCGCGGAGCTAGCCCGACGGAACGAGCTGTCCGAGCGGAGCGAAGAGGAGCTGGATCGCTATCTCGCGGCAATCTGGACGACCATGGACGCGTGCATCGAGAGGGGTATGCGCGCGAGCGGGCCCCTCGAGGAGGGCGGCGCGGTGGTGCGGCGCGCCTCGATGGACCGGAACTGGCTAAAACGAGCGGGTGCCGCCGCCGAGAAGAGCGATTGGGTCGTGGCTTGGGCAATGGCGGTCAACGAGGAGAATGCAGCCGGCGGTAGGGTAGTGACCGCGCCAACCAATGGCGCAGCTGGAATACTGCCCGCCGTCTGCAAGTACTACTCCGAATTTGTGCCGGGGGCGAACGCGAACGGCCTCGCGGAGATGCTGCTTACCGCCTCGGTGATCGGTGGGCTTTTCAAAAAGGGAGCGAGCATCAGCGGCGCGGAGGTGGGGTGCCAGGGGGAGGTCGGCGTCGCATGCTCCATGGCCGCAGGCAGCCTTGCGGCCGCGCTCGGCGGCTCGCTCCGCCAGGTGGAAATGGCGGCCGAGATTGCGATGGAGCACAACCTCGGGCTGACCTGCGACCCGGTCGGCGACGGCGAGCCCATCGACGAGCGATGTGCATGGCACCTCTGTAAACTCCGAGGGCCTGTGCATAGGTCGACGGCAAGGTGCAAATCCCGTGCATCGAGCGCAACGGACTGGGTGCGACGCGCGCTGTCGACGCGGCGCGGCTCGCCATGCGAAGTGAGCACCAGCGGGTAATCTCGCTGGATACAGTCATCGAGGTCATGTGGAAGACGGGGCAGGACATGAAGCCGAAGTACAAGGAGACCTCGCTCGGAGGTCTGGCCAAGCTGGCGCAGAACGCGACCTTCTGCTAGCTGATTGCTGCCTCTTTTTCTCTTGCTCATGCTTTTTTGCCGTCGGACAACAAGTAGAGGACTATCCACTTGACTATACGGCTCCGTAAGCTATCTCTCGCATCCGTCGCGGTCGCGCCGCTCTCCGGCTCGTCTTGAACTCGATGCTTGGCGAGCGACGTTTTTCATTTTAGTTTTTTTACTCTCCAGAGTCCAGTCCACTGATGTGGCGATGTGCGAGCCGAGAGCACCGGGAAACCTTTTCTTTCGTCCCAGGCGGGGAATAAAGTACTCTGCCCAGAGCCCAGTCCATAATACGGCTGATGGGATATCAGCCGGACCCGCCGCCCGGTGTTCGCGCGTTTGGCCGCCCGGGCGCCCCCTCCGGCTGCTGCTCGACGTGGCGCTCCTCGGCGGCGGCGGCGGCGGCAGCGGCGGCGATCGCCGCGCTCGAGTCGAATAACTCGGAGCAGATCTCTTCGGTGAGCGTCTCTCGGATGACGTAGAGCTGGTCGGCGGACGGCGTGATGCGGAAGTTTCCGCGAAACGGGTCGTTGAGGTCGGCGCAGAGGGAGGAGGCGGCGGCGGCGACGCCCCAGAGGATGGTGTACAGCAGCCGCAGCTGCAGCGAGTCGAGGAACTGCACCGTCGCCTCGTCGGACTCGATGAGAAAGGAGACTAGCACGGAGAGGCCGAGCAGCGAGAGGATCAGCCAGTGCACGGCCGGGTAGGCGGACTGCTGCTCGCTGAGGCGCTGCGAGCGGTGGTTGTTGAGGTCCTGCATCATCGAGGGCAGCGCGAAGAGCGCGGGCTCGTAGAAACGAGACGTCTGCGCCAGCGCGGCGGACGGCTTTGGCGAGCGCGCCACCGCCTCCATCATTGCGTCGAGCTCCGACTCCGTGGTCGGCGAGACGGACGCGCGCCAGCTGCCTCGCGTCTCGATGATGAGCCTCGACGTGTATTGCCGCATCGCCGCGAGCAGTTTGCGTCTCGTCTCCGCGTCGCGCGGCTCCGAGTAGATGAGGTTGACGGCACGCTCGAGCGCCCGAATGCCGCACGCCTCGCGGTTGAGGCAGGTCCTGATGTTGACCTGTCCACGGCTGAAGGTGTGAAGAGACGCTGCTCACGCGCCTCAGACCGAGAGTGGCCGAGATGCGACCTGCCGCATCCGCAGCTGGTTGAGCGTCGCGGCGATGAGCGTGCCGAGCACGACAGACACCGCCGGGTTGACGACGCCGTTGATGACTGGGGTGATGAGCGCGATCTCAGTCGCGCCCCCGTCGACAGAGTACCTAGGACCGCTCGGAGTCGCGGTCAGAGAAGCTTCAGGCAGCCTCTCTGCCTCCTCCGCCGGCGCAGAGTACCACGTGCGCGCGCTGGCGATCAGCGCGTGGAAGACGTCGCGCACCCACTCGTAGGTGAAGAAGGCCACCACCGGCGCGAGGAGAGGCCACGCCGTGAGCAGGAGCCGGAACCGCTCTGCCGAGGCCGCGTCGCCGGCAGGCTGCACCGCGTCGTCCTGGTAGAAAGGGAGCAGGCAGAGCTCGGTGCCCGCCTCCATCTCCGCAAAGACGTCGGGACCGCCGACGTCGGGCACCGCCGCCTGCTGCGACCCGGAGAGCGCGTCTGCGATTCTCCTCCTTAAATCAGCGGCGCAGCGGACGCCGGGCGCTCGGCGGGTGGAGAGACGTGCTGCTCTCGTCGGGAGGTGGCGGCGAGCGCTCGGCGCCAGAGAAGTGTGGTGCCACGAGGCAAGCACAGCGGGCGCAAACAGCGCAGGCAGGAGCATCGGCGTGCTCACGCCGGGGAAGAGCCGTGTCGGACTGCCGTGTGCGACCTCGGGTGCGCCCGTTCGCACGCTACGGTAGGTTGGCTTGCCCGCCAAAAGAATTTGGCCCGCCGTGTTTCTTTCTTTCTTTCTTCAAAGATCGTCCTTCCAAAATCCTGCTCTCGTGCAGGTATGGACCCTCCTCCCCCATCCCTCGTTCTCGCTTGTTTTCTTTCTTTCAGCCGCCAAAAGAAATTCTGACTTGGCGCTCTGCAGGCGGTCTTCTCTCTAGGTCTCGAGATACACAAAGCGGCCAAGGGTTTGGCTCCGGGCAGATAGGAGCTGTCCGTTTAGATGGGCTCGGATTCTTCTTTCGGACCCGACGACTTCAGCGGTCACTTCCTTGGGATACCTTGGGATGGAGAAAATGTTGTTCCTAGCCGCCACTCTGGCCGCCCCTGTCCCGCGTGACGAAGCTAGCGGCCACTCTGGCCGCCGCCTCGACTGGGATGCGTTTTTCACCGCTCTCGAGGTCAACGTCAACACAAACGTTCCCGTCACAGTGGGGGTCGGCGACGAGGCTGCTGCTGCTGCCATCAGTGCAGCCAAGGGTCAGCAGGGAGGTGCGGTCGCGGAATTTGCCCCTCAGGGCGCAGAGCAGCAGCAGCAGGGCGCATACAACTACTACAGCTCGTACGGCGGCGGCCAGTACTATGGTGGACAGAATGACTATGCTGGCAACGACCGGGCGCTGTTGCCGCCGTCTCCTCCACCACCTCCACCTCCTCCCTCGCCGCCGCCCTCGCCGCCGCCACCGCCGGTCGGCTTTCGTGACGACCGTGACGACTACGCTCCGCGGCGGGACGCGGCTTGGGATGCCGCGTGGACGGGAGAGCGGTCGCCCGTTGCGCCTCACCCGGTCTGGGGCAGCGCCTCCCGGGAGAGCGGCTGCGGCTACGAGACGGTCGACTGCGGGCCAACCTGCTGCGGCGCGGGCGACCGCTGCCGGGACGCGCGGCTGGGGCAGTGCGCCGACCGATACGGCAGACCGAAGGCTCCGGTGGGCTTCACCGGCGATGCGGCCGAGGACGCCACCTCCGGTCTCCTCGGGTGGGTGGACAACTTCAAGCCTCCAGTTACCGTCAGCGTCGGCCCAAAGTTCAGACTGACGGGCTCATCGCGAACGTGCGACTGCTACACTTGCGCCGGCGATCCGTGCTCCCCCTCCTCGGGCAGCTCTACCCACCGCTGCAGCACCTGCGGCCCCTCAACCGCCCACTGCAGCGGCAGCCGCGACTCGAAACAGATCGGATGCTGGTTCTCGGGCGAGCCGAACCTGGAAGGTGGCCATTGCCAGTGCCACTGAGGACTGCGGGGGGGGGGGGGGGGGGCAACCCGCGCGCGATCGTCTCCGGTGTTTATGTGTTGCGCCTCGCATGCGCGCGTAATGTGGAGGTGCATAACTCTGTGTCGCATGTATCATACCGGAACATATGCATTTCGTAGTATCCACACACGCCTCGCGCTCGGTTTCAGCTTTCACGAATCACAAGCCGCGGCGCCGCGGCGGGAGGAGCAGGTGACCGCGACCCGAGCGAGCCGCAGAGAGTATAGAGAGACGGCTGCCCCGGATTTTTTGTTTTGGGAATTCTTTGAGCTGTACTGACGTACGGCTCTATCGGGGGGGGGGGGGGGGCGGAGGCCGGTTACTGGAAAACTGGACTGTTTTTTTGGCTACGCGTTGCCGACCGTGTCAGGCGCCCTCCAGCCGCTGGCGTGCTCTCTGCCGACCCCGACCAATATGGCACCGACGAGGAGGGACAAGGTAAACGGCAGGTGGTAAGAGTTTCTCCACACACACAAAGAATCAAAGTGGTGGGGAAGCACCGTGCAACACCAACAGCGAACTAACAAAACACGACAAGAGGAATTCCCCTAATGACGAGTGTTCTCCGCGGCTCATGCGTGCAGGATGACCCCGTTCCTCCACGAGTAGTCGGACTGCCACGTCACCATCCCGAACCGGCCGGGGCGGAGCCGGTCGATGCCCTCCTCGGGACACACCCAGACCCGTTCCCTCCCGGAAGCGGTCTCACTCTCCTCGACCCACCTCTCCTCCCCAATCCGCGCCTCGGCGACGAGCGTGCCATCAATCCAGTAGGCGGCGCGCCCCGTCGTCATGCGCACCTGTCGAGGGAGGTGCGGGGCTTGTGAGCGAGTGCGGGGTCGGGGGGCCTCCCTTTGCGCGCGCACTTCCACAAGGTGCCATCGCGCGTGCAGCAGCCGCACGCGGTTGCAATGGCGGGTGCCTCGCACAAAGCCGCGCGTCCAGTCAAACATGCGCGTGCGGAATGAGAAGCCGTCGCTGTGCGGCGCGGCGTACCAAGTTAGCGCGTCCTCGCCCGTGCCGCCGCCGGCCCACGGCCGGCAGCTGTGCGAAAAGGCACCGATGACCTCCGACTGAGAGCTGTCGGCGCGGACCTCGTACGCGAAAATCGTCGGCCGCTTCGGGTGAAGCATCACCTCTTCCGGGATCCAGGTGTTGGAGCCCGCCTTGGCGGCGTGTGGGTTGTGACGGCGAGGCAAGTTGAGGTGCGAGAGAGAGTTGATCAGCCTCACGCCAGGAGGCTTTGGCAGCGCAGCGCGGAAGCGGGAGCACACGGAGCGGATGCCCACCGCCCGCCGCTTGGCGTTGATGATTGAGTGGGCAGGGTGGTCTCTGTGCGACAGCCTGTGCCAGCGGACAGCCCAGCGGGCGTTGTGCACTGTGAGCTCCGGAGTTGGCGGCGATGCAGAGAGCAACACGAGGGAGAGCAGCTCGTCAGGCAGGTCGAGGATTTCGATTGTGGCGTCGTCCGACTCGGCAAAGGCCATGCGGTGAAAAACCTGATAATACGGCCGCCCGGGACGTACGTGTCGAAAAAAAATAAAATATTCTTAGCTTCAAGCCCCCCTCCGAGACTAGGGACAGAACCACACCAGTATCAGACCAGCGGGACTGCGCCTCGCCCCCACTTGCCCTGACTACACAGGATAGCATGCCCCGATAACGGCGACACATAGTGGGGGACACTGCGCAAGGAGGGGGTGCGAAGGCTCATTGGGGTACTAGGTGGGACCATGAGGGGGGGTGGGCGGGGTCCTGTGGGGGTGAAATGTTGCGCGGCGAATTCGAACCTACCCCCTCGCCGCGCCGATCCTCACGCGGAGGGTAAAACCCTGTGGGACAAAACCCCCCCGCGGTCGGCAGTCTTCAGAGTGGACCCCCCCCTCCCCAGCCTCCCCTGTGCATCTCGCACCCCCCCCCGCTCCCCATCGGTGACTCGCGAAGGACACGGACACTCGGGGTGAGGGGGGGTCCCCCAGAGAGGGGGCTTTGGGGCATTGTTGGGTTGATCGCTCGTGCCGATCTCGGGTCGATCTCGGGTCGATCTCGGGTCGATCTCGGGTCGATCTCGGGTCGATCTCGGGTCGATCTCGGGTCGATCTCGGGTCGATCTCCGGTCGATCTCGGGTTGATCTCCGATCGATCTCGGCACTCGGGTCGATCTCGGGTCGA